TTTTTCGAAATGTAATAAGAAGAACAGACGACGGATGAACGAAAGGAACTGTAGGGTGGGCACCACGAGGATGTAGGAATCTCCTAGGACGGCCAACTACATGTTGGGTGGACATGTTCGTAAGGAAAGTTAATCAGCTCTACACGCAGCTACAGTTGTTTTACAGATCACGACATGAGACCCGAACCCTCCACTATCGTCGAATGAAATCATGGGCGACGATTTCGAGGCAGAGAAAAGAACGCAAAATATGCTAGAGTCCGCACAACCAATGAACACGGGTTGTCCAGTTGCCTAAGTACACCATTAGTGCAACTCTCTCAGGTTCAACTGGTTTATCCTTCATAAAACTAATAATATGTTTTCAGAAAATCTATGAGATAAAGTTCTTCGACGTTCCTGCTTATCAAAAGGCCGGCTTTCTATTAACCTCGGCATAGATAGTTGATATATTTACTTATATGATCTTATAAACTGACCTACTTAAGCTGATGCGAGGTTGATATAGGCCTTCGTTGTCGTTGCTGTTGTCGTTGCTGTTTGTGTTGTTGATCGATGGCTGACGTTTCGGCGATTTCGCCTTCCTCAGAGCCGTATTGTAACGAGTGGAACTGACTTTTGTCTTCCGTTTATAAGGTCGATTGTGCAAGATCTTTTTTGTACGTTGGGACAACCATTGTGCAACCTGTCACCCACACACAAGAGACAGATTGGTAAGCCGTAGGAGACTGTTTCCCAACTTTACTGGATGATAGCAAATTGGTCCACTGGTGTTGGACACTTCACACTCCGCCACACCGCACATAACAAGAGCTTTAAGTTTTTTGTGTATAGGCGAGGTGCTTGCATAACATCTGTTCGAAAATTCCATTCAACAGTTGTTTGGACAACGGAAACACCACTTGGTAGAAATTTCAAAAAACCTTGGTTGGTCGTTTCTAGGCATACTCGCTGAGTATTATTTAGTCAATATGTGGTTTACTCGTAAGCACGACTTGTTGGACGTTATCTAGAGATTTGCTGTCGACGTGAATCATTTAGCTACTGTACTACTTATCGCAGTGCATTTAAAAGATGATCCAGTATGTTTCGTCGCTAGTCTGCTGCAACAGTCTGAAGTTATAGACTCATTCATAAAGGGGGTTGTGAAGTAGTATTCTAATCTAGAACGGTTTTTAATTCAATATAAAGCGAAACATTTTTTTTAATCGAGTAGAACTATGTTCACCTGTACCAGAGTTCTTGTGAAAGAACTCGCTCCTATTGGCAAAGTTTGACGATTTGATTTGTTGTGAAGAACGAATTGATAACACACCTACGCAACAGTCCTTGGTTTCCAGGAAAAACGATTCCACCAAAAGTTTAGATCACTTAAGAGGAGGAGAAATCGGCCAGCCATGGCTGAATTCGTACACAAATGCAAAGATCTTAGTGATGATAGACATAAGGAAACGAATCGAATGAAAGAATTGCTGTGATCTACACAACAGTGCATGGTGTTGAGTTCTGCATTATCATATTAGTGTGAAAATCGTCGAGACAGAACCAGAGTTTTTTAACCTTTTTAGGAGGTGCATGCAGAATCGTCTCAACGGCAGATTGCTTTCGATCGCTGATGCACCTTCCCTCGCATCAAACGCCTTGCGAGACGTCATGTGCTGTTTTAGCACAAGTGCACATGTTGTAATGTCCCACTCTCTGGTTACGCATATCAATTTTTCAGCGCTAGAAACATGACGTTCAGCTTTGAAACTCAATTCTTTGGATCTTTTTACCTAATATTCGCGAATATTTCCTTGTTTGATATTTCTCTCTTCTTTAGCTTTTTGTTCTGAATTTGATCACTTCTTTCGTACGTATAGTGCACGTAATCGAAAAACACGCGTTTCACAAATTGTGTGATGTTTAACATTTAGAGTCTTACGTGAATAGATTTTCCCTCATAGATGTAGAGTATGGCAACTAGACCGAGATGAGTTGAAATCAACTCAAAACAAGTGCGCCGAAAAATTGAGTAGATGCGCCAAATACCTGTTTTGATTTGGACATCGGGTTCTGAGTGTTGAAGCGTTGTTAACGGCAAAAATGGAACATCCAGCTTGCCACGCTAACTGAAATTCTATTCTTCAACTTAAATCTTTGCATGAAAAATTAAAGGTTTGGTACGAAAGGTGAATTCATTTCAGAATTTACGAATTTTACGGAACTGTTAGGTTACTTTCTGAAGCGTGGTAAGCCCACAAACATATGAATCCTTGCATTACTTCTTAAGCATCGGTAGTATAGTATAGTATAGTAATATACTATCTAATAGTATAGTGCTATAGTGCACTATAGTATAGTACAGTAGTATGAACCGTAGGGCTTTTAGGACGAGTTATGTCTTAATTCTTTGGCTGATCGTTGCGTCCCAATTTTTTCGCCCCACAAACGTTACGCTTCAACAAAACTTCACTGATCAATCGTAATCATTAACTGTTCATAGGACTTTGTTTTCCAACTGATTAGTAACTCTTATGTTCTCACTAAAGTATTCATTAGAATGAATGAGGCAAGCATTCCCATATGTTTAAATTCCCCATATGCTGTAGTATCCGTCTGGTTTATGAACACTCTTTAGGCAAAACTAACTGTATATAACGTAATTAACTCTAGTATTTGCTAAAGTTGTACGCTTATATCCCTTTTTTACAATTCTTTGAAGCTGGAGCAAAATTTTTATCCGTCGCGTAATGACTGTCGTTCACATTGATGGTTTATCTCAATGTAGTTACATTGTAAATCCATTGGCATTATAGCAGAGCACCAAGAGGTAAGCTAGAGTGAAAAAACCGCTACGCTTTGGATCCGTCAGTTTTGTTATTTGAGAGGTTTGAAGAGAACTTGTGTTTTTCTCGTCTTTTACTCGGTTTTTCTTTTACATTATTCAGTATGACCATTTGAAATCTTAGCCATACATGGCAGTCAATTACTCCACTTACTACCCACTCACATTGCCACTCTTTCTTGCGTCGTTGAATGCTGTGGAAATTCTTTGCTTAACACGTACTTTAAAAAACTGCACGGAGACTTCTTATAAAAAACTACACCGAGACTTCTTAAAAAATTTTCTGTGAATACGTACCCATTTTCCTCGTAGTCAGAAGATTTTAATGTATCTGATAGCGCAACAGTGAAGAGGATTGACGGGATGGTCTCACGCTCTCCATTTGTGCTCCTCATATATTCGTAATGCTTTTGTGGGAAAAATTGTTTTATAAAGTTGAATAAAAATCTATGAGTAAACGAATTTATACCAGTGGATGCACCATCAACCATTTCTTTCCTAATCTCTGAAGAGACTAGTGTTCTAATTGTCGTTGCATATTTATAATAAATAAATGGAGTTCAAGGCGCGGATAGCACAGCGGTAGTGATGTCCGTCATCACGAGCATGGTGCTAGTTCAATTCCGCCCTAGGCCAAACAAGCTTATCATTTCTCCTGTTTCGGGAAATTGGTACCGGATTTCTCTGGAAAAAATTCACTTCCTGCAATCCAGTTGAGAGCGTTCCAGCCCAGCTATCTCGGGAGTCCAGAGAGAATTGCTCGACCAGCATTCCACGACATTCGGGATAAAATGACAATCCTCAAGCAGCTACCGAAACCACACGTAAAAGTTGGAAGATCTTCGTGGACAATGGATGTGAGGAAACGAATCGAATATGAGAAGTGCTGGGACGCGCACAAAATACGTGAAAAAGGATCAAATAAAACAAAATAAAATAAAAAAAATGGAGTGCTGCCTCTTACGTGACCTAACATCATATGCATCTTACTGTATGGATTGCAGCTTTTCGCTCATTTGATTCGTTTCCCTGCTTCCATCATTCACGAATGTTTTCGGACTTTTTTCCATGCAGGTTGGGCTGTTGCTTGAAGTTTTTCATTTTCGTCATGAATGTCATTGAATGATGGTTCGAATCGATCAATTCTCTATAGAATCCCCACATAGCCTTGCTAGAGCGCTCTCAATCATAGCAGTGAGCTCATCCAGGACAAGTATGGCACCAAGTTTTCCACACTGGATTGATGAAAAACTTAGGAAGGTCGGACAGGGTGGGATGCATGAATGAGTTTGGGCGCTACCGTAATGAACGGCATCATTACCATTGCACTAGCCGTCACCCGTCTTTTGCAAAACTAATTAAAATCGAAAGCGAAGGAAAAAGTGTGGAGTAGTGAACTCTAAAAAAGAAAAAAAATTAACTCATAAGTTAAGTCTTTCTAACCAAATGTGTATAAAAATTATAGAACTATGCAAAAAACTTATACATATCTTACATATTTACATGCATACTTACATAAGTACATATTGCATGCCGGTCTGGTTACTACTACAATATTTTCTTGCTTCCCCTTTTTTGTTTTTGTAGTTGTCCACCTACTCATTAATCAACTGAATTGTTTTTCACTCATCGATTTATTTATTGGTTGATTAGTGGTGCTCGAACTGTAGAAGAATTAATGCTCCGCGTTGGCCACTTCCTTACCGATGCAACATGAGTTCGATACCATTCTTGGTGTCGCAGTCGTGGTTGAAACTATATTTGGCCCACATTATGGTTTGCTGAAGCGTACCAATGTAGAAAGTTAGTACTTTTATCTTCCTAAATAAGTCTAACAGCAATTCTACTACCTCGCATGGACCCTGTTTATACTGAAGGGTACGTTTAGACCTTTTGTGCTATTCAGACCCCGTTCGTGTTACAATAGCGTGAAACCACAGCAGAGAAATTTCATAACTGATTAAGCGTAATACAGCTATTAGCAGAATGTAACTGCTAGATGCTGAGTGCTACAGAATGTGGCCAACAGCCGCCGCTACGCCATATTACACTGATGTGACAGCAAAACAGTATTATTGTACTACTCCACCGAGGTTATTCGCGGAAAGAAGCGCATTTAATCAAAATCTGAATTTAAAAACATGAAGATTTCTATTCACTTGTTCGTATTTAGATGATTGCACCATTCTTCGACGCACCTCCTTCACTTCTGCGAAAACCCGACGGTTCAGTTCTGTTTGAATGCATTTGTAATGGAAACCCTCAGCCAACTATTCAATGGTTTGTGCGCTAAATATGCTATATTGACCTAATTGTTGCTATGTTCATAACGAATGCATTTTTTTAAAGTCGACTTAAACTCTCCCAGTAGTATCAAATTATTAATGGTTAAGAAATTGTAGCCTGATAAGACCAGGGTTCACAGTGCGGTCTAAATTTCCTACCAGCAGCAGCGAGATGACGACTTATTTTTTTAAGGATTTCGGGAAAAACACAACTAACTTCATGTTGTTTCGGTCTTATTTGTGTTTGGGAACTGATGATAATTTCTCCGATACTTAAACGATTTCTCCCAGCGGTTTACCGCAACATCGTGGCTGGGAGGTGTTCCTGGGTGTCGGGGTGCGATGTACAGCAGGGGATTTATCCTCCTGACAGAGCCTCCCAAGCTGAGAAGGAGTCCCGCGTTTCCATCAGGAAGCCTAGCTAAGAGTAAACCAATGCCAAGATACACCATCGTTCTGGTATTAAAGTCGCATGGTGGAAAATCTCTCTCTGTTCCGCAAAGGTTGTGACTGCCTATGGTGGTGAAGACGTAGGGCAGACTTTGGCCGGACTGACCTCAAGATTCCACGGAACCACAATGGCTTAACCAGCAAATCTCCGAAAATTGTGGGTTATGCTGGGGCCCGCACAAGCAGTGAGAACGGGCCATTCAGGTATCAAGTAAGTTTTTAAAAAAGTAGAGATGTTGAGGGGATCATTACAGAAGGCAACTTAGGGAGAGAGGGAAATTATAGAGCAGACTTTTTTCGTTATCGCTCAGGTGACATGGATAGTATATATGCTGCTGTTTACTACGTGGTCCATCACTCAAACCTATTACTCTAAGCACGCGTTAGTGTTTTGCGGCTTATTTTGAATCTATTTCTGTACTTTTCATACTCTCTTATTCCATACGATAGCCGTGATCCATCGTAGCAGTTGGAAATAAACTAACGTTCAATCGCTATTCACGTTATCGGTCAGTTAAATAGTTTGAGTTTTTTGTATTTCTAACTACAGAACAGCGCTTTTCTCGGCTTTCGCCCATCACAATATCTGTGTTCGATAAGCTGTCGAATGATTATAAAAAGTTAAGCAAAGAGGTTATGCGGCAAAATAAATGCTCGAAGAAAATAGATGATATGACACTCAACTCGGCCAGTTTGTCGGGAAACTTGTGCATCATACATGATTCACCTCGACACCAGTGAGCTAGGGTGATAATGGAAATTTTGCTATTGTCTGGTTTTCTACCGACACATTTACTGAGTTTTGTTTTCTCTGAGACTTTAGCCTATGCGTCGGAGATAAAGGCCTCTGTTCATAAGTGAAGGGAAGAAATCACCTATGCCACCCCTCCTTTTCTTGTCCTCTATGTAATTCGAACGAAAGGCAATTGACCTTATCGACGTTTGGTTTTAATGAAACATCTTTCGTGCAAATTAGTAACATATGAGAGTAAAATCCGTCTCTTATTATTTCACTTCAAATTAGACATAGGGAAGCATTTGCAGGTTCTTCAAAGACCAGGAACTGAAAGATGCCAGACACGAGCAGAAAATCAAGAAAAGTGTTGGCAAATGGACGGTTCAAATGATAATGAAGGTGTGAATCATTCCATTGACATCAACATATTAGCATTGTGGTTCATGCATGAGTCATTTCATTTAGAAGAGTTCCTTTTGTCGCAAAAATTTTTTCCGTTTTCGCAATTTGTGAGCTGTCATTCGAAAAGTCCCATTTCCAGTGTGTTGCGAAAAAGCTACTTCTCCACATTATGATTAATTGAAAACAGTTATTAGGACGAGTTTATTGGTCTCCACAGTTCTTGCAGTGGACCTTCGCCTACTTGGCAAATAAAAGAAAAACCAATTTTATAACAAACTTACATTAGCTAGATGACTGAAGAAGGTATGTATAAACGGATCAGCGTCACTGAATCTGCATGGAAATTGTGTTTGTGGGAAATTTCCTATTTATTTCATTTCACACGACCCGTTATCACGTCTACTGTGCGCATGTGTATATCCCAGCACTTCTTGCGTTCGATTCGGCTTCCTCGTTTTCATCGTTCACAAAGTTCTTCGAACATTTCGCGTGTTGTTTCGGCTGCTGCTTGAAGATTTCGCCTTCTTTACGAGTGTCGTAGAATAATGGTATAGTCGATCCTACTTACAACAACTTTGGAGATATCCTGGTTAAGGCGTCCCCACGTGGATTGGACAAGAGCGTTGGAAGGGGAGTCGAAGCAGCACCTTGCTTCCTGATTTACTGCATCACTAACCATTGCGCTTGTAGGAATTATATATTCTTTAAAGCAATGCATGCAAAAACATTTTTTTGCATTGTATGAGAATAGAGGGATCAAACTGGTTTTTCAAAGGTTTCTTGCAAAAAAACCTATATATTAGGACGGATTTGAGATTTCTGTATTAGATTTTTCTGCCCTTTTAGAATCCGACACAAGAAGATCAAGGTATCTACAAAGTGGTCGCAACGAATCAAGCTGGTACTCATTCCGTTCAGCAGAACTACATTCACATATGCACTGCAGACGAGATCTTCAAAACCCAGTAGAACACATTCACGAATCAAATATTGCTCTCGATTCAACCTCCATGCTCAGTTTTTTTAAACATATAAAGATTACTTTTCTGTAATTTAACGACTTTTAAGGTCATTATTAACCTTAATAGTGATGCCATTTCTTTGTTACTCTATTTTCAAAAAATATGGCACTTGTATTTCCTATCTTTATCATTTGACATTACTAATATTTATGGTACTGTTAAAATTTCTAGATAGCGAGAATCAGAACAAATGTTGTTATGAGGCAAGAGGAGCAACAGAATGTTACAATCATTAATGTATTGGCTCTAATAAAACGCGTTTTTACAAATGAACATAGCACGTTTTTGTCATGCTACAGTTTTATGTTACTTTCCTCGACTTTACGTGACCTGACACCACATATTTTGTGGATTCCTAAATTTCTGTGGCAACTGTCAAGTTCTCTTCATTCGATTTCTTGCTTCGCATTGACCACCTACAAATGTCAACGCATGAGCGCACGGGTTCGGTTCCTGTTCGAGGAATTTCGATCTTCTGTATATCGCTGAGTCGATTCTTCTCCTTCAAATCCTGGAATGCGCGTTTGAGAGCGTTATTAGGTCAGGTCTTGATCAAAAGTTTTGGTAATCTTTTATGGACTGCGGTGAATCCTTCACAGGTAATTCCACCACCAACGTATTATTTTATTGCCAATGACACGCGGTTGGCAAATTTTTGTTATTCGTACAACGTTCAAGCGCGTTAGCTTCAATGATTTGAGTCGATTATTTACACCCGTTCATCCTCGAAGTGGGGTCGCTTTACTCGTTATGACTCTTTTATAGAGGACGGTAGCTTACTGATTATGACTATATAATATGTTTTTCCAGATAATCGATCCTGTAGCGGTCGGCATTAGATTAGCTTGTACATCGCCTGTATCACCTGTAGTCCTGCTGATCGTCGATTGGCTCAAGACGGCGCCAGTAAATCTTTCACTTTTGCCTGTCACGTGCGAGAGTATCCCAGTAGGTTCTGTTCGCCACAGAAACTCGTCAAGGGTCATATCTTTCTTCTAGGCTTTTCGTGAAGAACCTTGACCATCGAATCGGTGGTCTTTCTGCAGTGCGTTAAGCATCTCGAGGAATTCAGTCACTAACGGCTCCTGTCCATCGGTTGTCACTCAGAGGCATTGCGTGTGCGGCCCACTTCATCTTCGACTGTTTGGCGTACAAAACGGCACCTTTAACTTTGATCGTTGACACAGGTCGAGGCTTCGGATCCCTTCCCCTACTTGCGTGATACGAGATACTCATAGCATCGTCCTCTCGACTGCGCGTTCAATAACGCTGAGTGATTTTTATCCTCTTCGCAGCGACCACGTTTTTGACGCATACGTTAACGCAGAAAGTATCATTGAGTCGAAAAGGAGGGCACGGAGTCTTATATATTCTTTAAAGCAAGCGTTGGTGGTGGAATTACCTGTGAAGGATTCTCTGCAGTCCATAAAAGATTACCAAAACCTTTGATGAAAACCGAATAACGCTATCAAACGCGCATTCCAGGATTTCAAGAAGAATCGACTCAGCGATATTCAGAAGGTCGAAATTCCTCGAACAGAAACAGAGTCGGGTGTTCTCTGTTTTCCTCACTACTACCTCGATGCTCTTGAAAGCTCCCCAAGCCGCTCGTTTTCTTCTGCTCAACACTGGAGCTAAGTCGCTCAACACGTTGATTTCCCGACCTAGATGTGACTGGAGCAAACATTAGTTCCTTTGAGGGTGAATGAGGCATACTTAACCAATCCGTTCTCCATGAATAACGTTTTTGTGAGATTTAGTCAAGACCAATCTTTCCACAAGCTTTATCAAAGTCGGCAGGCTTACGTTCCTTTTGGCCCATGTTTGGTGTTTTAAGGACGATGTCATCAGCAAGGCGAAGATGGTGTAACTGCCGACCATTGATTTTCACTCCCATATCATCTTATTCCAATGTTCGCATGACGTTTTGGAGGGTGGCGGTAAATAATTTTGACGAGATGGTGTCGCTCTGCCTAACTCTTCTTTTGACGTCAATGTCAATATCGCTGTAGAATAGTGATATCTTGGTTGTGAAATGTTTGTACAGTTGACGAAGAATCTTTATGTACTGAGTACGAACTCCTTGACTATCAAAGGGTTTCATGACTATCTATCTCAATTGAGTCAAAGGCCTTCTGTAAATCGATGAAAGTGAGACAGGGAGGTCTTTTGTACTCTCGCAATACTTCAGTAAGCCTTGTTATCGTGTAGATATGGTCCATCATGCTAAATCCTTTTTGAAACCCTGCTTGCACACATGGCCGCCCTTCGTCCAATGTTCTGCCAATCCTGTTTAGAATGATATATTTATTTACGTTTTCTTATAAACTGATCTTCTTAAGCTGACGCGAGGTTGATACAGGTCTTCGTTGTCGTTGTCGTTGTTTTTGATGTCATTGATCGATGGCTGACGTTTCGGCGACTTCGCCTTCCTCAGAGCCGTGGTGTTACATGCTGGACTACCTGTTTAGGATGACTCGAGTGAAAAGTTCGTAGACGACAGTCAGCAAGCAGATTGGGCGATAGTTACCGATATCGTGTAGGTCACCCTTCTTGAACAATAACATAGTCCTGCTGGTCTTCCATCGAGTAGAGACCAGGTAACGCATTCAAACAGGTAAAGTGTGGAGAGCCCAGCCAGTGTACTTACGAGGACTGGCCGAAGGTCCTTTAGGTGTTCTGATCTTATTCTATCCGGACCTGGTGCTGTTCGATTTTTCATCGACGAAATGGCATGTCGGTTTTGGAGAGGGAGACTCGGTGGTGCAACATATCCGACTTTCCTTGTCTCATATGACAGAAGATAGACGTCGCTATAGAAAAGATTTGAGTAGTATTCGTGAATGATTTTCCAAATTGCCTTTCTAGACGCTGTAATTGTTCCGTCTGGGCGTCGCATTGCAATCGTCTTGGTCTTGTAATTGGCGAAACCTCGGTGGGCTTTGCGAAAGCTTTTTCCAGCCTCTACGGCCTCGACCATTACTGCTGCTCTTTCCTCTTTAAGATCTTCTTTTATCGCCTGTCTGGATTATTGTGCAAGCTCGTTCACGGTTACCTGCAGCTCGTGCGATTCCACGCTGGTGTATCAGCTCGAGTGTTCTTGGAGACAGACGTCTCTTGGCGACTTTCTAAATCTGAACCTTCATAGCGCTGCCGTGAAGATGTTGAATAAGCCGATCGCATTCTTCGTCGATGTTATCGACAACGGCATCTTTTCAACAGTCAACTAAGAAATTGAATAAGCCTCAGTTTATTGTGGTCCTGGGACTTCGGTTTTTGAATTTAGCGGCTTTTCCCGTCCGCGAGAAATAGAATCTTGCAAGAAGGAGACGGTGGTCTGATCCCGTGTAGAATTTTGGGACAACAGCGGCATCGGTTAGGAAAAACCTTCTATTTACTATGATGTGGTCTATTTCGTTATGGTATTTTCCATTAAGAGACTTCCACGCCCAGCGTTGAGGGTGCGTCTTCTGGGATTGCGAGTTACCATAGACTGTCTTGGTCGCCATGATAAACTCAGACAGCAGGTCACCCTAAACGTTCCACTCTAATCCGTAGGTTTCAATGTGACGTTCTTCAGACCTTTTCTTATTTCAATCTTGGCATTAAAAGAATCAATAATGACTTTGATCAATGTACGGTCTTCTCTGTAGAAGTTCTCCGAGTCCATATAGAACGCTTCGACTTCTTATTCGTCATAGTTTGACGTCGGCGCGTAAACGACGAAGATTGTCAAAGCCGGTATTGATCTACACCTTTTTAATCGCAAACGTTCGATTTGGGTTGTAAGCTGTTTGAATGAATCCATGTTCATGGACAAACCGGTGTTTTCGAGAGCGCCGACGCCGCCAACTCCTCTACTGTCGCAAGTTCCGAGCGACACTTCTTCCCCGGTGTCATAGACGGCACTGAATGGGTGGCATCGTCTCGTCTCTGCCAGGCCGATGACGTTGTACCTTATTTTTCTCGCTTTCGTGATCAATTCTTCTTCTATCGAGGACTCGGTTGCAGGTGTACATGCATTGTAGGTACAGATCGTCACCTTAGTTTCTCGTCATCTAGGCAGCTTCCATTGGTTCTGAGATTTTAGCAGCCTCTTCGTACCCGTCCTACCCAACGCTGCCGAATTTGGGGTTCTTTCGGGATCAGGAGAATGGGGCCTGTTTCTTTTAGTGTTTTTAGCTTTTTGATACCCACGTATTACTGGGCTCTGAACGTGAGTGCTAGGTATACTCACGGGTAGTTTAGCAGGGTCTCCCGGGGTGGACATAGAGCTTATTTGTTGCAGGTGAATCCTAACCGCCTTTCATATGCTTCCCAGTCACTTGATTGGAGGCTTTTGGCCGAATTGACTCGTAGAACACAATCCGCATAAGCAAAAGTGCACCCACACACGCATGCAGGAATACGCCCCTCAAATACTGAAAGTATGTGCCAAATCAGCGCGGCAGAAACAGGTAGTCCATTGTCTGGATCCACCAGCGTCTCAGGGAAGCAGAGGTCGCTTTTGGCCTGCGGTTAACCCCAATCCGCCACTTGGAGAAGCGACTAAATGGCTATCGGGATTCCTCATATGAGGGAGAAAAATACTTCTACATATCGATGTTAATATAACTTCGGTGTGGTATAAAAAACCAAAATCAGTTTACAAAAGAAGTTCCGTTACCAGATTTCCAACCATGGAGGAATTCAAAGCTTGTTAGGTTGGAGGCTAGGTTCGATTTAAGATCTTGGGCGTATTATTGACCGAACAAAACATAATTAAAATAAAGAAAATTATCGGCTCTTGCGCATTCATTTTTTCTCCAGCGTGAAAACAAATTTGTCAGTAAAAGGTTATGAAAATGATAGAGGCCTCTACTTTTTTCTTTTCCAGCTCTTACTAGGCCTCATGGGACGCGTGTTGCGCTGTGATCACAGGCGTCCTGCAATACACATAGGATCGAT